CAATAACGCGTTCCTTTCGACATAATCAACTCGAAAAGCACTGGTACACGCATCGCTCGTGAATTTATTTCGTTCATTGAGTGATAGCGAATGGCTAGGTAGTTGTTTATAACTTGTCAGAATCCACTCACGGTTCATCCCTCACCCCACTTTTCGCATAACAGTTTATCCCGTTTACCCGTACAAATGGTATAAAGTCGCGGACGTTCGAAGGTAGGGAGCTGCTGTCCAGCACTGTGGTCACTGTGACCCCGTTTATCGGAGGAGGGCTTGAGTACCTCTCGAGTTTCTTCGGAAATCTCTAAAAGATGGAAGCCTTACATCTCATCATGTAACTTTGCATCCTGATGGTCGAAAATTTTGGTTTTTGTTTTGAAAGCGTACATTTCAAACGGAGCTTTAGAGCAATTCATTGACCAGAAGGCTAACTTTTTTCATTCGCGTTCCTACACCTGGCTTTTGTTCTCTTTTCTTTTCAGCATAAGCCCCAGCGATCCAGAATTCTCTATATTCTCCTTGATGTCTGTCCTATCCAATTGTCGTTTGTTTCAAGATGGAAGTTTCTTGGACAAAACCTGGCTTGCCAATGTGACTGACCGAATTGACGACAAACTGTTCAGTGCTCTGCGGATGCCCAATACAAACTACTGTGGCCCTAGTAAGTGCTGGCTCACGTAGATAATACCTAACTCTTTGTGAGAAGTGTAAGGAGATTCTGGCATTTTTAGAAAATTTCTTACCATAACTGAAGTCAGTCGACGCTGAGAATCCAAGAAGCCCTGTATAGCTGTTTCATCCTTACTGGGAATCAGCAAACGATCATCATCATCTGACGAAACTCTTGGGGGGGGGGTGTCAAACCCACGACCTCTTGAGTAGAAGGTTGAACACTGAGACGGTCAGCATACGCAAGTAAGCTTCGTATGGGTTATGCGGTTTCTTGGAGCACATCTCGCTGAGTATGAGTCTCAACCATACTATTTGGTCCTCCCCTTCACACAGAATTAGAAGTAGAGGTGTGTTTGGCCGACGAAAAATTGGCGACGGGATTTTACAAACGGTAGCGAACGGCCACAATGGACGTTAGTCATTTGTAGCAGTTCTCCATCTCTATTAGTGGGGTAATTTTGAGAACGTTTGTGAGGATGACCTGGATCAAAACACCCAGTCTCAACGAACAACTGTTTAGTTGACTGAAGAAACCTATGAACTTTGTTTGACCCAAAGTGGCTAAATGAAGACTATGGAAAAATTGGTTTACGTCGTACATCTCATTGCAGCCGGTTGAATGACATGACAGTCACGAATGTGACGAGTGTCTTCAAAACGTTCCAGGTGTAAAATGCTGTCAGTTGAATGGAAGTTAATATAGGAACTTCTTGTCAGTGCATATAGTTGAGTCTGATTGAACTGCGTTGCTTTTTTGGATTTTGGGCGAACTGCAGTAAGCTTCAGCGCGTTGCAAGTTGTTTCCAATCGAAGGACACTGATTTGACAGAACATACGCACAAGTGATCAGATAGACCACCCCTCACCCTCAATATTTCAACTGACCTTTACAAGTGTACAAAACAAACTAGAATGAGTCAAATCGCACAGTTGTATGAACAGTTTTCCGACTGACTATAGGTGAAGTTGCAATCAAGTCATATGACCAAACTGGCTGTTCATAGGTCACCTGATTCACTCTGATTGGTCAACCGCACAATGGTGGTTTTTGAAGACTGACTATGATCGATTCAGCCCATTTTGGCAATGAACTGTTCAGCTAGTTTGACAGATATTTGGAGACACAGAGGGCAATCCGGGGTGCTTTTGTCATTCCTGATGAGGGTTTTACGTTTACACAATTTGGTGCATTTTAGCTCGCTACGTTACAGTTGCCAAAGCCAGTCTGGCTGCCTCTGAAGACTTTTTTGCGTGTGTAGGTGTGTTCTGATCAATAAGTCTGTTGGTGAATTCACACGTATCAGATGTATCTCCTAGGAAAGGCCACCTGTAGCCACCTGTGGCGGTCCGCCTGTAAAGAGTCAGATACTAAACCACAGCTGACAAGGAATGTCGTATTAGGCTTCTCAAGAGAAAGGGCCAATGTCGGGATAGTTGAACGTCAGATGGTGTCCACGAT